GCAGGGGGGGTCCATCTGCTCCCCCCCCCCTTTGGTGCTGGTGGGGGGGCTCACGTGGGCTGGCACGAGCACTCTGGGGCCCCTCCAGCCCTGCTCACAACCTGACTGGGCTCAAGTTTGGGGTTTTATGGACCCACAAGGGTTTCAGTTCACTTTGGAGGGCTGTGCCCACCCACAGGGCAAGGCCCGGGGGGCTGTGTGTGCAGCCAAGGACCCCGAGCCCCCCCTGCCCTCACCTTTCCCCAAAATGTGGCTCTTTAACCCCAAAACAGTAGCCCTGGCCCCGTGGGCTCACCCCAACGGGCTTCAGCACGGGGAAGTTCTGCAAGTTGACCCTGAGCTCTCTCTGACCCCAAAAAGCAGCTCTGGAGCACCCCCAGGCCCACGGAACTTCCAGAACTCATCCCATGGAAAACACCCAGCCCCCTCAGGGTGAGGAAAGAAGAGGAGAGGGAGGAAAGATCGGCCTTTATTTGATGCAGACTCTGGGAGACCCCCTGTGCCCCCCCAGGGGTTGAAGGCAGTCGAGGGTCCCGGGAGGAAGATGAGGCTGCCCAGGGAGGAAGAGGAGCCACCAAGGCCCCAGGCTGTGGTCACAGCTCCGAGAAGAGGGGCTGCTCCCTCACACTGGCCCCGATGGGGACGGGGCTGCGGCGAGGGCTGGCCAGGGGCACGTGGGCACTGATGAAGAAGAAGGGGATGTGGCTGATCTTCCCCGAGGACCAGCACTGGAAGGGAAGAGGACACAGAAGAGAATGAGGGTCCAAGATCCCGGACACCTTCCCCCCACCCCGTGTCAGACCACCCAGCACCAAGGGAGGATCGACTCACCACGGTCAGGAGGGCTCCTCGTGGGAAGCAGGGGTGGAAGGCGATGATCTGGGGCTGGGCACCGCGCTCGCCCCGCACGAACCCGCTGTGGGGGGCAGGAGGAGCCACAGTTATGGCACAGCCACAGAAACACCACACTGCCAGGGCCAGTGGAGACACCCGGGACCTGATCGGATGCACTGGGCAAGGGACAACCCGGAGCCAAGGGGCTCGAGGTGGATAATGGCCAACACGGCCAAAACACGACAGGATTCGGAGGTAAAACAATGACAGGCCCTGAAGCAGCACGGGATGGGGTCTCCCAATGGTGAGGAGGGGCTGCTCTTCCCCACCACACCCCCGGGGGGGGTTAAAGGTACTCAACGAACCCAAAACCTGCTGCAAGGAACCCACCCAGTGCCCACAGCCACTCACCAGGGCAGGAGCTCGAAGACGGGGCTGTTGCGGGTGCGGAACACGGCGATGGCCGTCTGGCTGCCCGGAGAGTCGGGGTGTCCTGCAGGAGGGAGAGGGGCAGGGAGGCTTTCTTTGCTCCAGGGACACGTGGACAGGCCCCTCGGTGCCCCTTTTCCTTGCTGGAAGTGGGATCTTCAGGCGGGACTCACCTCTGATGATCACTGCGAGTCTCTCTCCAGTGGGGTCCCACACCATGGAATGCACCTCTCCTCCAATCCTGGAACCGGCACGAGCAGCAGGGAAGCCCCCAGGGTCGGGGAGCACAGACCCCCTCAGCCCCCCACGTGTCCCCAGCACTGGGGGGCACAGACCCCCTCAGCCCCCCGCGTGTCCCCAGCACTGGGGGGCACAGACCCCCTCAGCCCCCCACGTGTCCCCAGCACTGGGGGG